GATTTGCATTTCCCTGATTGCCAAGGAGGTTGAGCATGACCAATGGTGATTGTAATGAATCTATATTTTGGCAGGACAGCCATTTTTATTATGTTGATCCTACCTATCCAAGAGCATGGAAGATCTTTCAATTTTCTGGTATCGTCTTCAGTTTCTTTTTTCAAGACTTAAAATTCTTGTCAAAAACATCTTCCACTTCTTTGGTTAGTTTTAGATTATGGGTATTTTGAAGGGTGATGTTTCTATTATTTCTTTCTCGATTTCTTCATCATTTGTATATAGGAAAGTTATTGATTTTTTTGAGTTATCCTGTCACATCACTGAAGGTTTTTTACCAGCTGTAGAAGTTCCCTAGTAGATTGTTGGGGGTCACTTATGTATACTATCATATCATCTGCAAATAACAAAAGTTTGACTTTTCTCTTTCCAATCTGAATCCCTTTGGTCTCCTTTTGTTGTCTTATTGCTCTAGTCAGAACTTCAAGAACTATGTTGAATAGATATGGAGAAAATGGACAGTCTTGTCTTGTTCCTGATTTTAGGGGATCACTTTGAGTTTCTCTCCATTTAATTTGATGCTGGCTGTTGTCTTTCTGTATATTTATTTTATTATAGTTAGATATGTTTCTTGTATTCCTGATCTCTCCAATGTCTTTATCATAAAGGAGTATTGGATTTTGTTGAATGATTTTTGCATCTATTGAGAACATTATACAATTTTTCTTTCATTTTATTTAAATGGTAGATTACATTGATAGATTTTCATATGTTGAACCTGCCCTGCATCTTTGGGATAAAGTCAACTTAATCATGGTGGATGATTTTTTGATGTGTTCTTGGATTCTGTTTGTCAGTATTTTATTGAGTATTTTTGCATCTATATTCATGAGTGAAATTGGTCTGTAATTCTTTTTCTTGGTTGAGTCTTTGTATGGTTTTCATATCAGGTTTACTGTTGCCTCATAAAAAGAGTTTGACAATGTTCCTTCTGTTTCTATTATGTAGAATACTTTGCAGAGTATAGGTATTAGACACTTAAGGAAATGTTCAATATCCTTAGCCATTAGGGAAATACAAATCCAAAAAATTTCATGATACCATCTTACACCTGTCAGATTGGCTAAGATAAAAAAACACCAATGATAACTTATGCTGGAGAGAATGTGGAGTACGGAGAACACTCCTTGATTTCTGGTGGCAGTGCAAACTTGTTCAACCACTTTGGAAATCAGTACGGCAGTTTCTCAGAAAATTGGGAATCAACCTACCTCAGGACCAAGCAATACCACTTTTGGGCATATACCCAAAAGATGATCAATCATACTACAAAGACATTTGTTCAACTATGTTCATAACAGCATTATTTGTAAAAGCCAGAATCTGAAAACAACCTAGATGCCCCTGAAGTGAAGAATGAATAACGAAAATGTGGCATATTTACATATTAGAGTACTATGAAGAGGTTAAAAAAACAATGACATCTTGAAATTTACATGAAAATGAATGGAACTAGAAAAAACATCTTGAGTGAGGTAAATGAGACCCTGATAGATGATTATGGTATATACTCACTTATAAGTGGATACTGCCTATAAAGAAAAGGGTACTGAGTTCATGATCCTAGAGAAGTTAAGTAACAAGGTGAACCCTAAGAAAAGCATGCATAGATCCACCTGGAAAGGAGAAATAGGTAAGATTGCCTAACAAAATTGGGAGCATGTGAGTGGGGAGAGTAGGCAGGGCAGAAGGGGAAGACAAGGGGAGTAGGGGGGTGTAAGAAGAACTTGAGGGAATAGGATAGTCAAGATGGAGGAAAGACAGAGATGAGAACATGGAAAGAGATATTTTAATTGAAGGAGCCATTGAGAGGTTAGCAAGAAACCTGACTCTAGAGTAATTCCCAGAAATCTACAAAGATGACCCCAGCTAAGACCCTAAGCAATAGAGGACAAGATGACTGAACTGGCTTTGCCCTGTAGTCAGACTGATGAATGTCTTAAATATGACCTTCATAGGACCTTCATCCAGCAACTGATGGAAACAGAAGTGGAGACGTGCATCAGAGCACAATACTGAGCTTCAGTTGAAGAGTGGGAGAAGTGAGAATATGAGTAAGGAGGTCAAGGCCATGATGGGTACACCAACTTAAACAATTTACCTGAGCAAATGGCACCTTGCCTAATTTAGCCATACATGGAAGAAAACAATATAGGTCTAATCTAGTTCCTCTGAATGGAGGTGACAGCTCTATGGCTGGGGAATACTGTGGGGCTACTGGAAGTGGCACAAGAATTTATCCCTACTATGTGTACTAGCTTTTTTGGAACCTATTATTTTTTATGGATACCTTGCTCAGCCTAGATATAGATGGGAAGGCCTTGGATCTTGCCTAAATCAGTGTGCCTTACCCTGTCTAAGAAGTGGATGGGGGTGAGGTGGGACAGTAGGAGGAAGTGTGGGAGGAGGAGAGGGAGTAGGAACTGGTATTGGTGTGTAAAATGAAAAAAGATAATTTGATTCCTTTTTTAAAAAAAAGTAAAAAATGAAAAAAGTTGTAAATTCGACAGTGTTTAGTTTATGTATTATCAATAAACTGAGATATAATGTAGGGTTCAGTCTTTGTGTAACTCAGTATTTATGTTAGAATGGAGTATCAGAAGTGATCCTTTCTTAGTTGAATCTAAGTGGTGTTTTTAATTCCAAGAGCAGACCTTTTGTAAAGTTCGAAAATTCTCATAGTCAATCTTAAAAAGTCTGAAAGAGGTGTCCAGAATTTTTCCTCAGACAATGGATGGGTGCTGAGGGAATTACCAATGTATATCTGAGATCTCTTACAGAAGACTAGCATGGGAGACTGGGTGGGTCAAAGACAGTTTCAGGACTCATGGTTCTTAGGTACAGCATGGAAGTGGGCTAGAGTATGTCTAATGCCTCCTGAGGAGGGACAGTCCTTAGGTCTCTGGAGTTGATAGAGTTGATGGCATAAAACTAGTCTAGTATCTTCCTGAAAAGGGACTGTTGAAAGTGGGCAAGAAGCATAAAACTAATGATTTTTGCATTCTACTTTTGCATCTTTCTACTTTTGTAAATGAGTTTGTGAACTGTATTGGTGTGGGAGGTCCTTCATCCATGTGTTGCTTTTATTGGTTAATGAATAAAAAACTGCTTTGAGCCTATGGCAAGCGCAGAACAGAATTAGGCTGGAAAAGCTAGAGTGAATGCTGGGAAAGAGAAGGACAGAATCAGAGAAAAGCCATGGAGCCACTGCAGGAGAACGATGTACTGAAACTTTGCTGGTAGGTCATGACCTGGTGGTGATGCACATCTTAATGGAGATGGGTTGAATTAAGATGTAAGAGCCAATAAGAAGTTAAAGCTAATGGGCCAAACAGTGAATTAAATAATATATGATTATTTCAGGGCTAAGCAGCCTCCACCAACACTGTAGAAATTTCACTGTGAAGATTTTGGGTCATTTACTTATATAAAATATCACCTGTGGACAGGGATACTTTGACTTCTTCTTTACTATTTGTACCAACTCTATCTCAGTATTAAATAAATAATTTAAATAGAATCATAACATTCAATGTCATAGATGGAGTAATTTAAAACTGAAAAAAGTTAAGGACCTGATGAATTCAGTAAAGAATTCAAAGATGACAAAATATTAATATTTGTTAGATTATTCAGTTAATTAGAAATTAAAGTAATATTTCCAGATTATTGCTACAAAACTGATATCATCCTGATATCAAAACTAGACAAATATCCAAGGAAAGATAAAATTATAGGTCGATCATTATCGTTGATGAACATAGACTCACAATTTCTCATTAAAATACTTGCAAACAAAATTTAAAAACACATCAATGTGGTTGTATATCATGATTAAGTAATTTAGCTTATTCCTAAAGATGGAGGGATGATTCAATGTATGTAAGTCAATAACTGCAATCCACCACAAAAAAATAAAGAACAAAAATCATATGATTATGCTATTAGATGCAGAATAGGCCATTAATAAAAATCTAACATCCCTTTATGTTTTGTTTAGAAGAATATAATCACATATCACATTATATTATCATATTATACAATATCTATATGTTTTCCAGTTATGTGTTAGTAATCTAGCTAACTCGCAGTTTTGCCCTCTATTGCATGGAATACAATAATAGCATCTATTGCATTAATCACTAAAGATTAAAAGGCACAATTAATAACATCCTATGTAAGTAGAGAGTTACACACTGGCAAGATTGTAGAAAACAACAGCCACTGCACAACAGAACACTTGGTAAAGAACAATTTTTCCTAAAGAACCACATGGAAGGTTAGTGAGGCCACCATGTTGCCTTCCATCTACATCGGCTCTGTTCACTTTTCAGTAATCTACTCTACCAAGACTAACTCTAAAACTCTTACTAATGTGAAACTAAATTGTTACATGACTTTTGGACAACAGAGCTAGAAGGCACACTGTGTGGGATATTTTTAAAACACTTGGGCTAGAACAGGCCCTTAGTTTATGTTTACAGAATAAATAATAAATGGATGAAACTTGCTAGAAAATGCAAGAGATACCATTTTCTAGGTGGTGAATAACTTGCAACATTTTACAATTTTTTTTTTTTTGGAAACAAAATTAATCTCTGTTTAAATGGGTAAAACATGGTTACACGATGTTAGAACACAACCCACACTGGAAACCTGAAATGGTGTTACATGAGAACAGAAAGTTCAAGCAAAGTGTCCAAAGCAAAGAATGATAAAACTCTAAGTAGGCTTTCCTAAATAAGGGACAATGGAATACCAGTTTTGATGTAGAAATCATTATGAAAAGATATCTCATCAATAGTATATTTAAAATACTCAGTAATTTGTAACAAAAGCACACAGATTCATTTTCACTTGCAATTTATATATTTAAATTGATCCTTTAAAAATGATACTTTGTATATTTATATCCATTGCTGAATTGATGAATCAGAACATGCTATTTTAAAGATACTTTTATTTAATAGTACTAAGTTTTTCATTATTTAAGTCAGTGAAATATAAAATGCTCACTCATTCTTAATGGATTTGGAACATCAATCCATTCTATCACTCTAATCACATCAGAATCTGCATATTGAATCATTTGAAGTAACACAAAGTGGTTATATACTGAATTGAGATCACATTTGGAAACATGCAAAAACCATACAGTTTTGTACGGACATTCACACAGAGAAAGTAGACATTCAACCATATGTAATAATTGGAAAATATAGATACACACCTATAAACTAATGTCATTAAAAATCAAGGAAAACTACAATGACTTTAGCAATCTCTATGCAATGAAGTTTAACAAACACAGACGATAATAAGATTATCTTGAACATAAGCTAGCAATAATACAGTTCAATAAAATTTATTAATGGGCATACTCAGAGAGGTGATTGTTTTAAATTAAATAACATTTATTTGATAAAATTAGCCTTTACATTTTGTCCCATGAAACTATAAATTTTTCTCTGCTTATTTTCATTTGCAATTCTATGATTGTATCTTTTGATACTATAGCACTGGAAAAATATATAAAATTTATAAAAATTTGTCCATTTAAAGGTTGTTTCATTAGAAACACAACTAAAAAAAAGCCCACATAAAAAATATTATCAAAATGCCATGCAATTTTCTGGGTGTCTATAAAAACAAATTAGAACGTTAGAATGCCCTCAGAAGCTTTTCTTATCTGGACATAATTCTTTTTCAAATAGCAAGTTAAAGTGTGTGGAATATATTTACCACTAAACCCTTCTGTTAGCATTGTACACACTCAATCACCTAATATAGTCTGGCTTAGCCACTAAATGGAATTATTTATAATATATTTGGAATATAATTATATGCGCCACACTTAACCATCTGGGTATTTTGCTTCTTGTGGACAAGCTGAAATGGTATAGTGAAATATATTGTTTGTTTATATATTTGTCTTTCTCTATACAAAGAAAAAAATAATCCTTATAAATTAGTCATGTGTTGTTCTAAATTTTAGAGTAATGTCCATTCATGGTATATAAAACCAAATAATATAATTATTATTAATTTTAATAAAATTATACTCTATGTACAGAAAATACATTCTTAAATGGCTAAGAAATCTCAAAGGTGAAACTCAGGCATTAACCCCTGTATGGCCCCATATTAAATACAATTCCTTGAAGGAACTATAAAGTTATAATTATTGAAGAGCATAGGTAATTGAAATTGTACATTTTGATTGAAAAATATTTGGAGTCCATTAAAATAGAGACTCTGACTCAACTTCTTCAGTGAAGTTCTATACAGATGCCAAGTCTGCCCTTTAATTAGACCAGAAGACAGCTGCCAACGTTAATGCAGCATAATCATTCATAATAATAATTGCATATTAATCTTTTGAGTTTGCAGAACTACAGCAATGACATATGTCATGAGAAAGACACCTGTGTGGCCTTTTTGTGACTGACGTGGACATATTAATTACACCTGAGAAAATAAAATTTGTCTTCTGCTGAGAAAAGCTACTTCTGGGCTTATTGGCTTAACCTATCAAAGGAGGAAGTTTGAATACTGTTAGGATTTTTGTGTAGTCATTAAAGAATTCCCTGGGCTAAGACTGTCAATAGGTGGCTTGTGCTTTAATATTTGACTGACTCCTAGAAATAAGAAAGCAGAACAACCATGTGTTTCTTTGGCTTTGCAGAGTGGATTTTGGCTGAAAAGCTCAGTGCCACCATTTTGTTTATTGCAAGCTTTGTAACTGTATGTCCAAAAATATAATATGACCAGAAATACTGCAGCAACAGGTCCTAAATATGACTTAGTTTATTCCTTTGCTCTTAAAATCATGATCCAGTTTGAAGATGAGATTATAAATGCCTTTAAGAAACAAGTTACCTCACAGTAAGCTGCACCTCAGGATTCTTACAAACCTCTCTATGCTAAAGGCACTGTTAGTGTACATCTTTGAAGGGTAATGGAATGCTATTATAGAATGAAAACTATTGGTGGTTAGCAGAAAAACTTGTGTTAAATAGATTAATTCTAAAACCACTATTCCAGGAAGGCCATGTCTTATATAATTTATAGAGTTTATCTAGAAAGGAAACACAGTTTATTTCTGAGTGAACATGGTGATGACCAGTAACATTCTACAATATAGTTTGAAATCTTCAAATTTATGTAACTTCACATTCAAAATTCAATAAAACAAATCCAGTCAACTGTATGGTAGTCACACTTAATAGAGTACTTTGAACTCTGCAATCTTTTTTCAGATTTCAGAACAGCAAACGCTAATGAGCAATTTTTAAGATAGCTATTTAAACTCATGGAATAGATCTGAATTTGTTTGAGTAGTGAGGCATATATCATGAGCTTGTTTTCCTATTTTTAGGCTGAATTCTCAGTCCTGCACGGAAACAGGTTGGAGAGTAATTTGTTTAAATATGTGAGACCTTTTCCCTTCAACTCAGCCCATGTATTGGCAGTTTGAAATAGCTCCTTTCTATTAAGCAAATGTGCATGTGAGTAACATACTAAACCAATAATACAACAAAATATAATCCTCAGAGAAAGCTTAATTCTTGCAGGAATTAACTACATATAGTATGAAGTGTCTCAGAAGAACATTATTAGCTAAGTCTAACAATTTATCCTGAAAATAATAATTTTTTTAAAACATTTGAGTCAGGATGCTGACTCACCACTAATAAGAGACTTCTACATGCTATGTAGTTATTTAAGAAGTTCATTGGTTTTGAGGTCTGATATATGGCCACAGACATATATAAAAGCACCTGTTTTGTTGTTGTTATTGTTTTGTTTTTCCTTGGTGAATTCTATGGACATTTGGAGGAGGTATTATGAGAGTAGAGCATTCTGGTTTAAAATTATAACTTGAAGCCTTGTTTTCCTGGTATGATATAACTATGTGCTTAGATTTCATGGTTTCTCAACTTACACAGGTACAGCATTGTTGGGCTACAGCCATTGGGCATTATGGATGCTGATTTTAGATATTTTACAATTATGGTGAAGTGGATCCTACCAAGGCTAACTACCTGGGGCTAATCATATGTGGAAAAGTCACATCAAAATGTTAGATCATACTATGTTTTTAAATCAAAAAAGCTGAATTTTCTGTTTTGCCTGGTCTAAGGCATGCACATTGACAATACAGTGTCCCCATGAGGAGAAAAAAACAGCACAACATTTCTATTAATCTCAGAAGTCTGAATATGTCTCATTAAACTTGGTTCTTTCTTCTTAAATGAATTGCTATATATAGTCAAGTAGAAAAATAAAACAAATGTAAATCATGTCTAAACCAGTTCCTGCCATAGGTATCAGAGATGTTGGTTACATCTGACTTCTCTTTTACTGATAAAACAGGTCATCCTTTGTATTATTACATTTGGGGGAGGTATTTTGTTCATGTGTGAATATGTGCACAATGCTCCTGCAGGTCAGGAGGGGGCACTGGATCCCTTAATGCTGGAATTTACAGGCATTTATGACCTGCCTAAAGTAGGAGCTGGAAACTGAATTCAGGTCCTCACAATTGAGTTTCAAGTGCTCCTACCACTGACTCAACTCTCTAGCTGCTTAATGGGGTTTTAATGATGGCATTGTCAAAATCTTTCGGATCCTTCATCAATGTGATTTTTTTATATATATTTTCATAAGCTTTTAAGATATTTTATCAGGATATAGGATTGATACAGTTTAGAAATTTTTAAAATAGATAATTTTGAGTCTGAGAATAAATATCCTGAAAACTCTTCCCCTAATTTCACATTTCAAAAACTACTAATTTAGGCTGTCGATGTTCCCAGCTACAAGGTCTCTGTAATAGCATTTCACTTAGCCTCTTCCTGACTTCTGCTGTCACTCCTCAGACTTCACGTTATTGGGCCAGATTGCCTGGGAATATTTTGTCAAGTATGACCAAAATGTGAGCTTGCCTAGCACTAAAATCATGTTCCCAGTCCACAGTAGCATGTGACATAGTGGACTGGTTACAAAGCATTCACTGAATAGGCCATCTATAACTCTTCTGGGAGACAGGACAGTGCACACTAGTCAAGAAGATGAAACCTAAGTGGCTTCAGCCACTCTCTGAATGGATGCTGATGTGTGTGCTTCTCCATCATCTGTCTCAGGTACTACATCTGATAGCGACCGTGGTGACTTTACAATTGAGACAATAAGCTCAACCTTAGTCTTGACTGTCACATAGGCTGTCCTTTGTCTCGAGTACTGGGACAATTTCCCTGGATTTCCTGCTTGGTCAGATTCACAGCACAAATTCTCAACATTTTCCTGGCAAATGGGACATCTCTGATTTGTTACCTCCTGGGACCAATTATTTATGAAGTACTTTGAGAAGTACTTGATACTTAGAAGTCTCAGTATCCATTAGAAAATACTACTGGCTCACATCCCACTTGTCATTTCCTTGCTCAGTACTTTATTCACTTTGGAGTTCAGGAGAAAGTTAGCATGCTGTGCATCTGAAAGAGTCTTGAGGTAAGTGTGTCACAGCTGTACTACTATGTCACAAGGCTCAGGGCTCCCTTAAAACCAAAATGTGGAACAGCTTCTTTAGAATTCATGAACATCTATTTTAAATGCAATTTTATCTTTTCATTTGGTCTTTTAAATGATCTAATAAAATATGCTAGCAATGAGTTAACTGTGGTTTTCAAAGGACTAATACAATTAATGTGTCAGGAAGTAATACAGAACTTATATGTGATTAGCTTTTTCTATGTACAAAGTCTTTAAATAAAAATCTAGAAAGCAGTGATCTTCTGTTCTCCATACTTTTTTGAATTATTGTACTAAAACAATTTAGGGTTATCTAAGATTACAATCTACAAAATAAAAGGTATTTTGTCATCTTTGTTTTAAATTCAGCTTCATACAAATAACTGCGCTACCATGACTCAGTGTTGAACACTCTTGACCTAGGATTGATTCTCTGGCAGTCTAAGCATTCTGTCAGCCTTTTTTCTGATCACTCTGCAGACTATGGGAAAGAAGCAGGGCCAGGCAAGCAATGCCTAGACCCTTGTGATGCCTTCCTATATACATTCAGCAGTGTGGCAAACATTCTCAAACAAGTATGTTCAACATAATTACATTAAGTAAATACATTAACTATACTAAAAGGTAGTTTAATTTTTCATATAAAATGTTCATACATAGGCACTTCAGATTAATACGTGTTTCTGTCTGAATTATCTAGCATATTGTCCCAGTTATATGCTCTGAGCACACAAACATTATTATTGGTAAGAAGAGCTGCACCTTATAAATCACTTAGTGGATGATGGTTAATTCTTTTCTTTCAACTCTAGCTTTCTTTTAAACTCATCTTACTTCATCCAAAAGAAGTAAAGTCCTAGGTACACAAAGATAGTTATAGCATTTTCCTGGCCATGTGTAATGCCAATTGTTTCAGGATTGAAACGTGTAGGGAGTGTCATAAGAATATTCTCATGGTCTACTCTCAAAGGAAAACTGCATTACTCAGTATGAGAAGGATATTTTTAAACAAATGTGTTGGCAAGGTAGGGTAAGAGCTTTGTTTTTCCATCAGAAGGTAGAATGTTTTTGTTTGAAGGGATATGGACTTTGGAGCTTCTGATTGACAATGACCAAATACAAAGTCCGTCTCCTACACGAGAGACAAAGACTCTAAAGCACTTAAGTTTTTGATAACGTAGTGGCATGCCTATTTGCTGTTTTTATCTTAGCCACTGTGAAGAATAACAAAGGGGGAAATTATTAATTTTCTTCTTATATTTAGAATATTTACTGACAAAAACAGACATCTCTTTCACAGTAGGGCTTCTTTTGCCCGTAGTTTGCTACTGGCGAAAAATCACAAATGTATTTGACGATATTTTGGATTTTCAAAGACAAACTGAAATTTTTTTATTATTGTTATGCAGTTTTCTGTTAAAATCACTTTATAGCAAGGGATTGTGGGAAAGATGTGAGGAGGGACAGCTGTGTGAGATGCCCTCCTGTAGCCTATTCCCTGCTTCCGTCATTCCATTGGAACTCACAGAAGGGACAGTAAAGAATGTGCTTTCCCTTGTCAATGCACAGCAGTGCTGAAGTCTGCACAGCATCAACTGAGGCAATTGAAGATTTTCAAACGTGCAGCCTTAGGAAGAATTTGCATTTAAATTGCTCTCTCCAGTTTCTTGGGAGTTTCCCCCGTGGAATGTTTATGGCTCTTTTTTCATTAGTACTTAGCAAAATTCAACTTCATAACCAGTGCATTACTACATCTAGTTGTGTCAAGAAGAGGAACTTCATTTTATAAAATAGAAACATTCAAAGTGGTTCTGAGCATCAATCCCTCATTCAAAATGCATTACTTCTTCATATTGAACAGTTACTTGAACATTTGTCTGGAAACTTATCAGGTCTCCATGTCTAACATAGAAACTCAGTCACTGGAGATTTTATTCGAGAGAATTCTGGCATTCCTCCACATTCTGTCCACACTAATGGTAATGTCAAGAATATCTTAACCCCCCACAAGCTTTTTATTTACAAAAATACAGCATATTTCTCTGTAATAGATAAATCTTGGGTATTATTTCAATAATTGCTGTTACATACTAAAATGAGAATATAAAAATATTTAAAATGTGCAAAATGTTCTTTCTTATGTACATTTAAAAATATGCTGTGTAATAGCTTTAAAATTGGGGTAAAGTCTTTCCTCTCTCTCTCTCTCTCTCTCTCTCTCTCTCTCTGTCTGTCTCTCTCTCTCTCTCTCTCTCTCTCTCACACACACACACACACACACACACACACACACACACAAATACCTGATCAAATTAGAGATTTTGTTTTTACACTTGTAAACAAACTTTTAAAATGCTGCATATTTTCTCAGTTCTTTTCAGCCAAGACACTCTCAAACACATCCAGTCCTGCTTTGAGGAAAACCTGAGCTGAACGGATGCTATTCAGCACATCGGACAGGGCCTGCTGAATGGTCACATTTGAGGCCAGCGAACTGCACTGCTCCCAAGCCTCCTTGAGGACGGAAAACTGGCTTGTCTTCCCATCAAGATGGTACAGGATGTTTCTAAAAGAAAGATGGAATTCGTAAATGTTTTATGCACAACTATATTTCCATATCAAAACTTTGTCAGAAATAATGTCTACAAAATAATGAAAAAAATAATAAAAAGGCAGCATTGTTATCTTTCAACCTATAATAATTGAATGCACAGAGATGGAGTTTATTTGTGGACTCCAAAGTCATTAGGAAGTGTATGCTTCCTGATTGAGGCACACAATGCTATCGCATATCATGAAGGGATATTCCAAAATTTTAAGCGAGACATTTGCAAAGCTTCTAGAGTTAATTATCAGAAAATACATGAGGCAGAACTATTAAAAGATACCACATTGTATCTCAACACACTATTGGCTATTGAAAAAAGGATTCAGAACATTATATAATAAAAAGGAGAATTTGTAAAGCAATAACCTACATCAGAGACTTTTTGGACCTCAGCCTAACAGCATATTGGACCAGACAATCGGTTGCTGCAGCATCTGCCCCATGTACCATTGGCATCTGGAACTAAATATCTGTGGCTTCCTTCTGGTAATGGTTAGTTTTTTGAGTTAACTTGCCACAATGTAAAATCACCTTGTAAGAGAGTTGTAATAAGAACTTATTTGTTTCACACTACATTTTGGTCATGTTTATGGGAGGATTGCTTCCATTATGTGTACTGATGAGGGGAGGCCCAATCTTCTGTGGGACTCAGCATATGCTAATTTAGGGGCTTCAAGTTCTTGTCTTCTTGATGACTCAGTGACAGATATTAATCTATAATTCTAACATGAATCCTTTCTTCCCAGTTTTACTTTTTGTGAGGGTATTTTATTATAACAGCCAAACTGAAACTAGGACTCCTTTATTTTTAAGGAAAAAAATATCTTAAGACTTTCCCATAATATTCCTAACAGAGTAAAAATGACTCCAACTGAAAATAAATGTTATGTGTGAATTTTGCTTTGAAATAATTTGAATGGAGAGTGGAGACTGGGGTTATAGATAGTACATAAAAAATCAAATTCACTGTTAGTAAATAACTGATGAACCTGAATGATAGGATTATACTATTCTCCTTTCATATGAAGTTGATCTATAACATCTTTTTACAGTTTAGGATTGTGTATTAGACATTTTCTTATAGTCTAGACAGATGTCTAAGAAAAATTTGAGTATGGTAAGGCTAACAGTCCTTCATTCATTAATAGATAGAGGTATTTAGTCGGAAATCTATAATGCTTTACATAGCTTAACATTGGAATTTTGTATACCAGAGGTGTGGGACTAGAGCAAGCTACAACTACAGGCCTTTTATACCAAGAGAACTAGACTGAACTCGTTGTTTGCAAGAGGAAGCCAATGCCAGTTTCTAAATATAAGAGAATGGGGATAGATTTTATTTTTCAACCAACACTGGAGAACAAGAGACCACTTAGATAGAAAAGTGATGAAATCTCATGTTGACAATAGTTGAGTTTGAGAAATTAGAGAGACGGCTATTGCTTGGCATTTATTCATAGTTTTCCCTGTCATTAAGTCCACAACAATAAACTTCTAGATTGCTACTTCCTTCTTTGTCCGTGGTTCTGTTTCCACTTTCTGGAACTTTCAACTATGTATTTATAGTGGATACTGAGCACAGAATTCTGTCTAATGTCACACAAAAAACAAACAAACAAACAAAAATAGAAACCAAAAACACCAAAATTGGCTTTTTCTGGCTTAGTCAGTTATTTACTGACCATATCTTCCTTTTTCTGTTCTATTGCTTGGTCATACATATTCTTCAAGGATTTATTAGAATGTTGCTACTCTGCAAGGGCTGACTCTTCATGGTTAGAATTTTGCTACTCTGTGCCTTAGATAGGATTTCCATAGCTGTGATAAAATGCCATGACCAAGAGCAACTTGGGCAATAAAGGATTTATTTCATTTAAACTTCTATAATGTAGTCCATCATTGAAGGAAGTCAGGTCTGTAACCTGAGATAGAAACTGAAGCAGAGGCCAGGAAAGAATGTTGCTTTCTAATGTAATGGCCATGGTTTGTTCCGCCTGCATTCTAACAGCATCCAAGAACACCAGCACTGGGGTGGCACCACCCACAATTAGCTGGACCTTTCCATATCAACCAGCCAAGAAAATATACAATAGACAGGATTGCCTACAGGCCTGTCCTATGGAAGCCTTTTTCCTGATTAACAGTCTCTATTTCCAGATGAGCTTACTTAAGTCAAATGAAATAAGAACTATGGAGAACAGGATGTTTTCAGTCTTGGTAGTTTGACTTGTCTAAATCCTTATTAGTTATGGAGCAAAGGCTGCTACTGTCAGTCAATTCTTTTTAGTTTTAAACTTTAAGGGACTAACTTTGCATACTTATAGAGACAGTTCAGTGGATTATGAGCACACAATGTCCTTGCATTAAAATCTTATTTCTGTTGTCAAACAGATTATTTGACAGCTCTGTCCTCAGGATTTGAGAAATCTCTATACTGGTTTCCAAAGTGGCCAGACTAATTTATATTACCCAAAACTGCCAAGAAACCTTCTTTTCTCCCTCATCTTCTCAGTATCTTTTGTTTACTTTATTTTTAAAATAGCTGACAAAGTGAAAAATATTTTCATCTGGGAAATACATATTTTGTTTGGGGATGATTTCTTCTTCCTTAGCACTCATTCCCTTCTTTACTGCCCCTCTTTGTGCCCTGTGTTTCTCCATTATACTCTAAGGTCCTCCATCTTACTTCCTTTAAAGCCCCCTTTTTCCAGTACCATGAATGTACTTCTTGTCTTTACTGATATTTAGCCCCACCTGGATCCATATAATTTAGTTCACAGTTGCAGGTTATGGTTTGCATGTGGTATAGCAAATATGGTATTTGTTGTTCTGGGCCTGGATTGCTTCACTTAACACAATATTTTCTATTCTCATCCATTTTCTTACAAATTCCTGATTTCTTTTCTATCTATTGCTCACTGATGTGCTATTGTACCCATGTGTCACAATTTTTTTCTACTCATTCATCCTTTAATGAGAGTCCTGGCTGATTCTGTATCCTTGCTATTTTTAAAAGAATATTGAAAAAGCAAAAGTTAAAGTACTTCTGTAGGAGTGTGTAAAGATTTTGAGCATATATCCAACTGATTTATAGGTGGCCCATCTGGCAGTTTTGCTTAGTTTGCTTGGTTGTTTGAGACACCTTACACTGATCTTCACAGTGACTTCACTGGTTTAAATTTCTGCTTGTACATAATGTTTCCCTTTTCTCCTCATGCTTACCAGAATATGTGCTATTTGTTTTCTTAAACAATGGCTACTTAAAATAAAATGACACTGAAATTCACAATTTAATTTGTGCATATGTACACTGAGTATTTATCAAAATATTTGCTGGCTATCTCTATTTCATCTTGTAAGAACTATCTGTGCAGGTCATTGACTCATTTGTTCATTATGAATGCCTATGTATTTTGTAGTTCATTATATATCTTAGATATTAACCCTTTAACTGAAGTTTAGTTAATATTTTGTCACATTCTATAAGCAGTAGACAGATAATTTTGTTATGTAAAGATGTTTAATTTTTTTAAAAAAAGATTTTTAATTTAATATAATTTCATTAGAAAATTCTCAGAGCCCTTTTCTTGCTGTTGTAGTTCAATTCAATAATGTGTAACCTCTAATATTAACCAAACATTTCCCAATTTTGACACTCTTGCTTGATGAAGTGGACTCTCAGCCTTGTTTTAATTTGTGTTTCCATGCTGGGGAAGTATTCTGAATATTTTTCCATTTGTACTTCATCCTTTGAAAACTATCTTTTTTTCATTACTTCTTTCATTAATCTGATTATTTAATTTCTTGGTATTCAATCCATTTGTGTGTAGGCCATGAAAGTAGATACATAGAACTCAGAGAACTGAAGGGATTAATGGGAAAGGAGAAGATACGAGGATGAATTAGTTAATATACATGATATTAGAATAAAATGTCTTTATGAGTTATGTCACTATTTACAACCAAAGTTCAACAGTTAAAAAGACAAGAGAAAAATGATTTGAGTGGAAAACAACCCCAAAGTCAAAACCTTCAGTTATTATATCTTTTTGAAACAAACTTGACATAATATTAGTTAAGTAGAAAAGTCAATTGGATTTAAGACTACATTTTTGGGGGGCCAACTATTTCCTAGATATGAACTTAGATGAATCCTACAGAGTGGGAAATGTACAGTGAGACATGTTCTGGAAAGACCTCACCTAGAGGACAGGGTTTCTGCAGTTCCCCTAAGAACAGAGGAGTTGCACAAACTACCTTTGCTACTGGTACAATGTCCCCTTCCTCAAATCCCAGCCTTGTGGCCTGAAATGCATATTTTCTCACATTAGCTACAGATCTTTGCTACAGATGAAATATATGTTATGCTGTCATGTTCAGAAAATATGATTGTGAGTCTTAAAACACATCAACTCCCTTAGTGTAAGATGAAATGGATATATCTCTAGAAGTAGTAAACCATCTACATAAAAATTTATCCTTTTTTTCTCACAGTATTTTACAAACTTAAGGTAATTTAAAAAAAAAACAGACAGGTGATTGTGGTGCATGCCTTTGAATCCAGCACTCAGGAAGACAGTCAGGCAGATCTCTGTGATTTTGAGTCAACGTGTTCTACAGAGTGAGTTGCAGAACAACCAGAGATATACAGAGAAACCCTGTCACAAAAAAAAAACAAACAACAGAACAATAAACCATCAAATTACAGAACTGCAATCACAGGAATTATATATGCACAGCCTTAACTGTATTGAATTGTTATTTCATGATTCTGAAAAATGGAATGGTCATTAATATGTGGACTAAAAGTGCCTTCCATAGAAGTTGAGAATAGAATGGAGCCCACCCAAAGCTCAAGAAAACGGGATAATAAAGGACAGGGAGAGATTGTTCTATGGGGACTAAACTACAATTTGATGAAAGCAGGATTCCTAAGCTATATCAGTGACACAGAAATT